ACTACTTCTTTTAAACCTTTGGTAGCGATTCAGTAGAAGACACATTCGTTCACACTGTACTTCAGTCTATTTTCTCACTGGTTAGATCCTTCAAAAGCTTCATTTGCATTGAACTTGCCTTTAGTCCAGATCAGGCATGCAACCATCCCAAGCTAGGTCTCGCTGATCGGCAGTGAACATGTTCAGTAGCGAACCGTTCGGTTACAAACGGTTTGGTGACCGAACATGTTCAGTTGCGAACGGTTTGGTACCGATCAGCGATTCCTACTTTGGGATTGTTGCATGCCTAGTATTATCCGATATGATCCAGCCTAGATGCAAAAGTACTTGTGTACTATTGCACCGATTACGTTACATAAATAGGCACGACACACCGTGATACTGTATCATTGGTATACAAAGCGTATACTAAGATGGAAAAGCATCCAATTATTTGCAATGATGTATTTAACAAATCACGAAAATTAGTTTTTTACCTTTCCACAATAGGTTAGCAAGTCAGACAGAATTATCTGGTGTTCGGGTGGCTGCCTACCTATTTGTTTAGCCTGATAATAACAAAATCAATAAATTTCCAGCGATATTCTTAATTGGTATTAAACCTTATTTGCAAGAATGCTTCGATAGCGAAAGATAGCTCCTCTTATGGTTGCCACACTGCCTGAATCATGGAAATTATCAGCGACATTAAACTTTAGTAGTCATTTAGCATGTATAAGTCTAATATTTATTATTATTTTTCGGTATTGTTCAAAACAACTTTTTCTGGTTCTCTGGGAAACTGGGCTTCTAGAAAAGCTTTCTTCACCAAGTGCTTTAAAACCAGTGCGGGCAATAAAAAAATGAATTTTCTCCAAACTTTGAAGAATCTCATTTGAAATGAGATAATTTTCAGTATTTCTAAGACGTGGAAATTTTTGTCACTTTCAGGAACATGTCTAGGGATGTTTTTCTTGTTTAAAAAGTATCCTTTCTCTTTTTTGTATTGACCAAGGAATCTATAAAGTCAATCCGACTTAGCGCTGCTGTCAAAACATTTAGAATTTCAATAACCATTTTCCTACATACTTATAGTACTGTTCGTAATTCGACTCCTTCAATTCAATCCCATACGGGCAATGTTCACTTAATTCTGTATAATTTAAATTACAATTTGATATAGAATATTTTGAAAGCGTAGTTGATAAGTGACCAAATATAACTGTATAATAAATAAAACAAATACCGTTGAGTATAGCACAAGAAACACCTAAGAGAATTAATAATTGATCTAAACGATCCACATATCGAAAAAGATTATGAACACCAATCACGTCATTCTTTTGTTTGTTACTAAATTTTTTCAAAGATACTAAACGCTTCAGCCTTTGAAAAACACAAGACAAAAGCAATTAACAAACTTAAGTAAAATAATACAAGTTGATTCAACACTTACATATTTGATTTACTTTTCCTATTGTTTAGTAATGGCTGTGAAACATCGTTTGTATCCATACTTTTGTTGACGGTCGAGTGGTATGCACAAAACGATTGGTTTTATAAGGCTTTCAAGATCGCTATGCCTATGAAAAAATCGAAGAAAACATTTCTACAATTTAGGGACAATAAATCTAGGATTGCAGATATTAATACAGCCAGTAATTAATTAATACAGCAATTAGAATCGAATTATATTGAATATATCATTGATTCAATAGTAATGACTTTTGTATTTATGTTTATACGATTGTATGTATTCGAATCACATAAATTAAAGACTTGACTTTAATCTCACAATAAATAAAAAGATGAAAATAGAAATGTACGCTTATATTAAGCTGTGCATGAGAGAGTAGTCAAACAAGAGAGTATTGTATGTCGAGCATGTAGGGATGACTAATATTTTTCTCTTGACTGCAATGCATATTTCTAGAGCAGTAAATGACCATATTCTTGCATTATGATGAGTTCATAGCAAGAAATGGAAACAATAGATGTGTACGAGAGAATATTGTGACACTATACCCTTGATTGTTGACTAACTATGTATAATAGAATGATAGGAAAAGAAAGAAAAAAGGGTAGCTTTCAGTGGACATCATTGTCACTGAAAGGACGTGAACGAAGTAGTTGCACACAGTTCAGATTATCCACGTCGGACATTAATACAATACTATGGTAAAACATATTATTAATATAAACAAAGTGGAGTTTAAAACTTAAAATTATTTTACCAGTCACATTATTTACCAGTCACCTTCGATATAACAGGTAGGTAAATGAAAATATTTAAATAAAAAGAAAAGTAGGTACTTTTTTCTACATGCTGGACACACAATACTCTCCTGTTTGAATACTCTCTCATGCATAACTCAATGTAATTATACATTTCTATTATCATTTTCTTAATCATTGCGAACAGAAACAAAGTATTTTATAAATAAAAAATTATTAGTCTACAACATGATAGAAAATTCTCAATATTCAACTGAGATTATCGACATAAGAACAAAAGCTCGTTGTTCAGTTATATTTACTTATATATGTTTAATTTTATTCAGTTTGGGCACATCAGTTAGTTACACTGGCATTTCTGCTGAAACTCCTCTTATAGTTGCCACACTGCCTGAATCATGGAAATTATCAGTGACATTAAACTTTAGTAGTCATTTAGCATCTATAAGTTTAATATTTATTATTATTATTCGGTATTTTTCAAAACAATCTATACACTATGAAATACCAATTAATGTTTTTATTCTCATAACTGCTTTTCTTGCTAGTACGGGTCTTGCGTTATGTTGGTCTAAGACAATAATGATCGATGGTACATTCTACAGTATCTATTTAATAGGATTTTTATTTTGTTTAGCGTTTGTTAATTCATTATCAAAAGTAACATTTATGCCATTTTTCTATCGATATCAGTCATTTTATTTAATTGCTCATTTTGTTGGTGATGCACTAAGGTAGATATTTCATACTTTTCCAGATAAGATGTCTACGAGAAATCAACTAAAAACCTCTTACTTTCGCAACTGATAAAGTTTACTTAGAAAACTGCAATCATTTCTTTTGTGAAATAAAACGAAATCAATTTTGTTTTCGTTTAGTTCATTATTGCCTGGATTATTGGCACTTTTCCAAGGTGTTGGATATGATAAATGTATAATAAATTCTACGACAAATTCAACCACCATAGTATATTTTTCATCAGTTCGTTTTACTGTTAGCACTTATATAGCCGTTTTATCATCATTTACGGTTTTATCATTATCAGCCTTTTCTCTACTATGTCTAACAAATATTGGAAAACTGACTTATTTGAATAAAAGTGAATTAAGTCCACTTGTCAATACAAAGAACTCGGAAACCAGTCAACAAGTGCAACATCAACAATTTTGGTTATCCACTAATGGATTATACTTAATAATTATTTTTTTTACAAATATTTTTCATGCAGGTATGATGCCATCATTAAAATCATATATACTTTATCCATATGGAATTAATATTTTTTTCTATGCAAATACTTTTAGTAAGTATTTGGGATTACAGCATTTTCGAAAAGAAAATTGTTTTATTTACTTTTGTTCTGTTTAGGTCATTTTACTTATCTAGTAACAATTTTTGTGGTTATTTTTGTTTCCAAAGTATCGAAGCCACTTATTTTCATTACTTTAACTTTTACCACATTGGCAATCGCTTATTTATTAACTACAGCTAAAATGTCACCATGTCCTATACTAGTCAATCATATATCAGGAAAAATCTTGATTGTACGTGACACTTAGATTTGTGTTTTGCACAGATGAAATCCGACCTCTGTTGTCCCTATTCAGATAGAATTGTTCTCTATAAGCTGGCAGCATTAAAATTCGTTTGTTCAAAGTTTCGGCATGGGTCTTAATATAAGCGATTTCCGCAAGAAGGTATTTGAACGAGCTATAAGGAGCGATGAATATCAGATTCGTCATCCGTAGTAGAGGTTATACTGCTATAACTATATTACATTTAAGAAGATGCTCTCATAAACCAAGGTTTTAGCTAATTATCACGTCTACTTTAGATTTAGGTTCTAATTAATTGCGAATGTTAATCAGAACTAAAACTTTTACAGTTTTACGTAGACAAGAACATTTGTGATTTTGATTTATTTTCATTTTCACCTATGATTTTAGATATCTGTTTGGATTCTTACTAGTATTATTATTCACTTCATACACATTATATTAGGTCTATATATTCGGCAAAATTCGGGACATCATGGTCTATTTTGGTATGGTAAGTAGGAGAATAACAATTTGTTTTTATAGTAATAAAAAGCTTTATCAATTGATAGTTATCATTCTTTCAGGAGTGCTGAGTCAACTCGGTTCATTTTTCGGTTCATTGATTATTTACTTCCTCGTGTCGGTATTGAACATATTTCAAGAAGGAAATGCATGTAAACAATATTCATGTTAGATAGTAACCGTGTTGTAAATTTTATTTTATCCAAGATCAAAAGAAGACATTCATCCAACATCTTACTTTTCATTCAAATATGATTGTTGCCTGATAAAAGAACCTTCTGCATCGGTAACTCTCTGACTCCAGACCGCCTGGTAATTATCGTCCCTCACTCTGAGCATAACTTCTAAAATTCAACGTCACATAAGTAACGAGTTCGTTTTCTATTCCTGATTTAACAAAAGTAAACAAACTAGCCTCACTACTCAACAATAGTAAAGAAAACTATTTTCTTTTTCAAAAATGCTGTAATCGCAAATACCTACTAAAAGTATTTGCATGGAAAAACATATTAATTTCATATGGATAAAGTATATGATTCTCATGATGGCATCATACCTGCATGAAAAATATTTGTAGAAAAACTAATTAATAAGTATGATGCATTAGTGGATAACCAAAATTGTTGATGTTGCACTTGTTGACTGGTTTCCGTGTTCTTCTTATTGTCGTTTAGTGACTGAAACGCCTCCAGCCGTTTATTTTAACATCTGACAGGAGAAAAAAGGCACTTTTGCCGAGCAAAACGTTGGCTAAACTTCGAGCGACACATCACTAAATGCAGTTTTTGACGCTGAGCACGAATATGACGTTAGTTTTTGATGGTTGAAAAGTCGGTTTTAGTGTTCAGAAACCTGTTTTTCTCTATGAACTTAAAAGGTCTAAATTTCTCATTTCATACTCTTATACAGTAACTAGTTGACTACATGATAACGCAAAGATATGCAAAAAATGTTTACCCTCCCGTGCAGAAAGATATTTCAAAAATGACCCTAAGATCCAACACATTAAACGATGGGTCAAATTCCTTCACTTATCTTCGCGACTATATTTATGTTACTCAGTTTTTGATGCTCTTTGGAATGGCTTAATCAGAATTTCTTTTCCATCCACTCATTCTCGAGATTCAGCAGTCATACTGAATAGTATGGCACTTTTGGCTTAAAGTCGCGTTTTCACCCGAACCAAAAAGCTTTTCGAAATTATTTGTTTACCAAAATGTAGCTCCTCTTCTCTTGTATTGAAGAGAAATTATTATTATTGGTTATTGACACCACCATCAGAGGTGTCACGAAGGGCTATTGACACCTCCAATGTCCAGTGCATGAAATAAAGCTAGCACCGGTCAGGTATTTCTGTATTTCTTATCTGATGAGAGGATAGAGAAAATGCTAAGAAGCGCTCTGTCTTTTAAAAAAGCATGTCTAATTGCCGGAAACAAAGAAATCAGTCCTAAAGTGAAAAAGAAAACAATAAACACAAAGGTTCGTTATGTAGTAGGTGATAGTGAGAGTACGTTTGTCTGAGCAAAACATTGCAAAACAAATGCTATTTCGTTTGTCTGATCGAAAAGAAATAAAAATAGCTACTAAAACTTCTTAAGAAGGTTCTCAGCGATTAGTGTCAAAAAAAGCAGGAGAATAGGAGGTATAACAAACTTATAGTGAGAATGGTCGAATGCAAGTAAACAAACTCGCACTAAAATTAGATCCCAGATCTTTCAAAAAACGCAGACGTGTACTTTTTATTTCTAAATAGAACTCTGTAAACAAGTCCTTATCAATCTGCTGGTTCCAAATTCTCATTGCTATTTCGCGACGAGCTAAACTGTGCAAGTCAGTCGTGGAAACTATAGAAGTCGGAGTAGATGCTTCAGATTGGTCGCTACTTCAACGTTAGTTATTATCCTTGTAAGCGCATACAGATTTTGAAAAATTAAAAATACATTTTCTTAATCAGCTCTATCCAACGATGTATAATAAATTCGAAAAAGGTTTTGCTCCCTTTTCGTATTATTCGCACCTTATATCAATACACTCACAATGATACTTGAGACCAAACAGTACACTGTAATGTCGGGAATTATTTATAGAAAATGCTCGGCGATTTTCAAAAAGTCCATATATAAATTCCCTGAGGATTTTCTAGATTCTAGAAAATCGAATTTACAAGAAACTTGGAAATTC